ACAAGCTTTAAGATGATACCAATAACTCTACATGCCCAAAAATTGACGAGAGCCTGATTCCACCATGCCGCCTCACATTTGTGATTTGACTCACTCACTGTCATATGTTCCATTGCAATAGAGCCCCCTTATTTGAGATATTTCACGAATGACTTGAAGTCGGAATTTTTATTTTTTTTTAATTCTTGAAAAGCACAAATTCAAGTTGCGGCAGGCACAAACAAAAATCTGGTATACAGTACGTCTACTTATCATCACTGGCAATCTGCAATCACTCCTAAACATCTGCACTCAAATCATCTCTATTTCAAAAGAAAGGGGAAAAGCGGACTAAAAAAATCATAATTTTGCCCTGGGTTGAACTAATGTAGGTCAACAAAGCAGGGCTAGGAAAAAGCCTGCAATTGTAAATACAGTACAACACGGATAGGTCTACCACAGAAGACTCAAAATCCTGCATCCGTCGAACAGTGCCTGCAGTCCCGGGGTTTTTTTTCTTTCTTCTTCTTTATATTTGTAATATATCCCTAGAACTATGGATCCCTCAAGCTACAGGAGCTAAACCCGATGACTTCCAGCAATCTGTGTTATACTGTACGTAGTGAGACCATGTGGGCGCACCATCTGGATATATAGGTTTCTCTGTCCAAGGACTTCCATAAGGTCGGGACCTCCATTACCATGATAGTAATGTTTTCTCTTCTTCCATAAGGTCGGGACCTCCACTACCATGTAAGTAATGTTTTCTCTTAGTGATAGTTTTACGGCACTTGCAGCACAAATGGGTCATACAAGTGCGGATGATAAGAGGTATTACCAGAGAGTAACATAGAAAGAACAGAGGGGGGGGGAGGGAGGGTTAGATAAGGTCAACACATATTTTATCAGAAAGAACGGGCAAACCATATTGGAGCACCAACCAACCGTCCAAAAGTTATACCTGACATAGAGGGTCTGATAGTGGCATTTCCTTTCACTTTTTCATAACCCCCAGGACATCAGAAATTGTTCGTTTTAGTAAGGTTTCACGGAGCTCCTAACTGCATAAGGTCATTGACATTAGAAATGACCCAAATGACATTTAGAGGCTACAGTATACTACAACAATCAGATCGAAAGAACGAGGAAAAATGGAATTAAGATAAAGCTAGCCAGTCAGAGAACAAATCAATAACTTGTAATTCACATCATGTACAAAATCAAAACCAAAACTTCCATGGAAGTCTTGTGAAAAAAAAAAAAAACCTTCCCAGCTGATGACACGTACAAAAACAAAATATCCCCCCCCATTACACTGAATCTTAGTCGGCACATCATATTTCAGCACAATACATACTACTTAAGTTTTTGGCGCTCATATGACCTTATGCAACTGTGAGCACCGTAAAACCTTACCAAAACAAACATACTTAAGAAGTTTTAGCTAGTGTTTTACGGCACTTACAACACAGGTCGTCATATAAGCACCGAAGCACAACACACACAAAGCACAAACAGGGGTGATGATGAGCTGTCCAAATGTCACTCTTTCACTTTGGGGAGAACTAAAAAGGACTTTACATAAGAATGCACAACAGTTCAAAGGTACAGCATACCTAAGACAAAGTGAATATGCAGGTAATTTAAAATTTTAAAGAACAAAAATCATGACTTGAAAATAAATCTTATACAAGTACACGTTCACAGCATCTAGCAATTAAAAAAAAAATTTTGCACCTCCATGAGATACAAGTACAGTCAAACCTGTGTAAGACGGCCACCCATTGTCAAGGAAAAAGTGGCCGTATAAGACAGGTGGCCGTCTTAGGCAGGACTGATCAAGATTAAGAAAACAAATCATTCCTATCAGAGGTCCCAATCGAAAGTAGCCGCATTCTTGTTTTTGTTGTTGTTGGTGGTGGTGGTTTGTATTTTGTTTGTAATTTTTATTTTGTTGCTGATTTTGCAAAAGGGTGACAATAAAACGAAATGTATCAGACGAGGAAGACCGAGCGCGATGTAAAAACAAACTCATGGGTCGCCACCACTCGGAGAACGAGCGACGTTTCTGTCCCAAGTTCACGTTGACATCCTTTGTTACTTTGTTACAGACTGGGAAAACAGTGACCACTCATCTCGCTTACGGTTTGTGTTTAAGTTCTGGGCGGGGCTTATGGGTTATGAGGGATCACACGCTTACCTCACCAGCAGCTGAAAATTGGTAGCTATTGGTCAACAGTGGGAGGGGCCTACGCAACATGATCGGTTGGAGGGATTACCTAACAACAGCGACAGGGGATTGAATTATGACGGCTTGCCCACAACGCCAGGGGCAAAAGCATAATTTATGACTAAACGAAATGGAGTCACTATAAGGTGGCCGTCTTAGACGGGTGTTATTGCTTAGTGTGATAGGGTTTGTGTGTTGAAATAAGGTGGCCGTGGCCGCGTTGGACAGGTGCCCGTTTTACACAGTTAAATTATATAGAAAAAACGCAAGGGGGGAGATGGAAAGTGGCCGTTTGTACAGGTGGCCGTCTTATAGAGGTGGCCGTCAGGGCAGGTTCGACTGTACATGTTTACCGAGGTCACTTAAAAAATAAAACAAAATCAAATCGACGAAACAAAAAACCCCAGTAAAATGAATGAACCCTGTTCATCTTGATCAGCATGGGCAGTACATCCAAGTCTTGGAATGAAATAGGGATAGGAACAAGAACAAAGTCCTAAATATTTAAATAAATGTAGGTGTTTTTATGCCCTTATTGACACAATCTAGGTCATTTAGGAGGCGGTATTCCTACCCTTACCCCCCTCCCCTCCTCTCCTCCCCCCACCCCTCCCGCGTGCGAAAGTCAGTCACTACCACCACGTCAACAGACAATGGCTCTGGACAAGAAATGAGATACTATACAGATATTGGCTGCTTTGAGCAAAGAGAAGCACATTGACACAACAATGGTCATTTTGGGCAAGAGAAAAGTAAGACAGACAGATAGAAACAACAGAGAAAGAAATAAAGTAGGACCTACCAGTGGCACCCTCCAACCTCTCACCTATTGACTACAAGGATTATTTCACAGCTAATAAACTACAGAACTACAACCACTCTACAAAGAAATGACATCAGGTTGGACATCTAGTTTGTCAAAGTTTCCTTGTGTAAAAGAAAAAAAAATGAGACATGTGCTATCTAAATCGAACAAAATTTATGAATTACATGGCACTGTACGGATTATTGACCCACATGTTATAGCTCCAGATTGAGAATGAATGAGTCGAGTGAATAGGGCACTCTGAAAACCAACCCAACTCAAGTTCAAAAACATGCTCTCTTGGGTTTGAAACAGTTCAGCAAGACACCAACTGAGAGAACAGTGTACCCAAAGAGCTATAAAGTTATGATAGTACTGAAATCTCCAATGAAGAATTTTACATTTTGCTTCCCATCATGCACTTATATTTAATACGAGGGCACTGCCAAGAATCTTTATTAACCAAAACAAAAAGCTTTGGACATCCTGCATTAACTGGGACTACTTCAGAGGTGCTAATTAGCTACGAAAAAATCCAGAACTTTTGTGATCCCCTGGAAATGCACACACACCGTCTCAAATTTGACCGATGTCAATGAGCAATACATTTGGTATCATGACTATTTTTATATAAAGTGCAAAATCCAGGCAATTTTAGAAATTCAAATTTCCAAATTAATCCCCAGTCAGCAACTCTGCTACCCGCACAGACAATAACAGAATAGTAACCAATACCCTCTAGCTTTCCTAAAACTCAGTCTGTACTGAAGGTGGATCACTACTCTCCACTATGCCTCTTGTAAACCAGGCAAACAGGGTGCCTTCTGATCAGAGTTTGTTTGTTGTTTTAGTTTTAGTAAGGTTTTATGGCGCTCGCAACTGGACAAGGTCATATGACAAGAGTGGCAGATGGGAGATAAGAAGGAAACTAAACAAAGCACAAAGCCTACTGCTGTCCTGACTAGAGGTTAGACTTAGACCTAAATAAACAACAATCGCAGAGACAAAATGAGCTGGAGACTGGAATTAAGTACCTCTTGTGAGTTATAACTTCTGTATGATAAGAAAACGAATTGTGATCAAGGCAAAAGTAAATCAATTCTTAAAAAACTAAAATTGTTACACATTTAAAATATTGAAAAACAACTGACTGAGGAACAGCTAGAGAAGGAAAAAGCCAATGAAAGTGAAAAAGAGAAAAAATAAATATATATGACTACAAGAGAGTAAAAGGCAGGGGATTCTTCAGAGCACATCAAGAGAATTATCAGACAGCAGAGAACTGTCACTGAGAAGCCACATATATATAGAGACCCCTGACGAGAGAGATTTGTTTTAGTTTCAACTGTTTTAGTGAGAGTTTTACAGCACTTGTGACACAAACAGGTCATACAAGTGCCAAAGGTCAGAGAGGTCACTAGACAGTAACATACCAAGTAAAGAAGGAGGAGAGATAAAGATGATAGATAGGAATGATAGGAAAGAAGGTGCAAACCACATCCGGGCACCCACTAACCACCCTTGACGAGACAGGCACCCACTAACCACCCTTGACGAGACAGAGAGAGTGGAGACAGAGTCAAGACCAAAGCAACTAACAACACACAATCAAGAGACAAGTCAGGGGCAATGAGAGGGAACAGACTGACCAAAACAGACACACTTGCTCAGAATACATGTACGCAACAGTACAATCTATTCCCAGTATCACAGTTGACAACAGCTGAGCACCACAAAGTTTGTAACAAAAAAGATGCTATGACAAACAAGGATAATAATCATAAAAATAAATAGCATTTGTATAGCGCATACCACCGCCAAACAGCAAGCTCTATGCGCTTTACGCTATATTATTAACCCAGCAGACCATAGAACGCTCAGAATCATTCTCAGCTTCCCGGGAAGCATACAGGGCAAGCAGCAGATTAAGCACTCAAACACTAACAAACAGACAAGATCTTTCACTGCCTATAGCTAGGTACCCATTCCCACCTGGGTGAAGTGAGGAAAATTTGTGTAAAATGCCTTTCTAGAGGACACAGAGTTGGGCCCCTGACAGGATTCGAACCCATGACCTTACTACCATAGCCATCTTCTTAATCTGCTCTTCCTTCACAAGTCTCAAAGACACGAAGCAAGACTGTAAAGAACATCATGCATACTATGGTGAAATGAATGTGCATAACAACACAACACAAGGCACAAACTAGGAAAGCAACATGCTAGAAATAACCAACTTGTAAATCTATCTCTTGTGTCAGGAAAAAATTCTAAAATCTATGAGCGTTCCCTATATTGCGGCTAATCAGGATGCAAGAACCTTTGATTATCCCAACTAACACTAGGATTGGTGGGGGGATTTTTTTCAGTTTTTACAAATATTTTGTGATTCTCATTGGCCCATGAAGAGAGCTCATTGAAATTTCGACGCCCAAAAAAAAGATAGAATAAAAAAACAGGTAATAGAATCATTTGTTGCGAGTTGTAGAAAATCTAGACTAGGCTTTGCTTTGATACCTGAGCTCTATGTACACAGCACAGTGGAAGTCAGAATTGGCTTTTTCAAGTAATTGCAAGTATGACTGAATTATCATTAAGTTCATTATCAATCAAATGCTAACCAGTAACACCGGACACAACAAATGCACTTTCTGTCAACAAAAGTGGAACAATCGACTGATTATGAAATAGTCGACTGATTTAGTTTTTTGCCACATCAGATCACCAACAGGACATACCTCCTATAGCTCTGGCGGCGTGTGCTCGTCATTTGAGAAACCACTGACAAGGTTTCTGCACATGACATCCCGCATGGGCTCAACATGGAAAAAGAATTTGCTAAAAGTAAAAGAAAAGAATGAACTATGCTCGCTCACTGAAAAAAAAAGAGAGAAGTTCATACCAAACATGACAGATGAACATCAAAGAAGTAAGGCATGCGAACAACTTCCTCCAATCATCAGCTAACCTCTAAAAGCTCAACCAACGTAGTAAAAATGAAATAAATCATAATTAACAACTAAAACATACTCCGAGGTACTACTCGGAAACAAAATCCTAAAACAATCTGTTTTTAGCCAGCCCCTTTAATAAGATATACACTGACTTGCCCTCTTTTAACTTCTAATACAGAAAAAAAAAATTTAACATAAGAATATCTAACAAATTATGCATTCTATAAACTAACAAAAAAGTTAAATACGATGATAAGCTTTTGTATCTGTAACAAGTCACACTTTCCTCATCATGAAAGCTCTGCCCAGAGTGACAGCTCAAGTAATGCTGGTGACTTATTCTGTATCTTGAATACCACAAAAATAAAATTTGACAAGAACTGGCTCACAGAGAGACACACTTTCCAACTTATATCTACTTCACAGCATTCCAGGAGTCTACTTATGAGAAAAGTAGAACAGTATTGTGGAAAGACAAGGCTGCAAACTTTGCCTTTTTTTTCAAACCAGGGAAAGTGAATATGTTTTTAAGCCTCCCTTGACACATTTTATGTTTGTTTTATGGCGCTCGCAACTGCATAAGGTCATATGAGCGCCAGAAAATTAGAGGCGTCACAAGTGAGTAACAAACATAAAAAAAGAAAAAGGGGAGATAAGGACGATAGATGTTTGATAGGAAAGAAGGAGCAAACCACACCAGAGCACCCGCCAACCACCCACTGACACAATTTAGATCATTCAGGAGGTGCAGTTTGATCCTACCTTCAGGAGGTGCAGTTTGATCCAGCCTGTCAAAGCTAACCTGGGCCAACAAGGATACAAAGTCCCAGTAGAAAGACCGAGATACTCAATATATTAAAAGTAAAAATCCTCCCCACTTTGGAATTGAACTTGGGGCTCCTGTGTGTGACAGTGAAGCGCCTAACCCCTACACCACAGATGCCAGTCTTTCCACCCAGTGAGAGACGAAAACCAACAAAGACAGAGGGAAGTGCGAGGTATGCAGGTCACAGAGTGAATGTACTGTGAAGCGAGGTATCCGAGTTTCGTTTTAGTAGCAGTTTTACGTTAATTGCAACACAAATAGGTCATATTTTTGTCCAAGACTAGATGTATTACTAGAGAGGAACACACACATACGCACAAAAAAAAGGGGGAGGGGGGGAGGTATGGATGATAGATGTTTGATATGAAAGAGGGAGTAAACCACACCGGAGCACCTGCCAACCACCCACAGGGTATCTGAGAGAAATAAAAAAGAAAGAAATGGAATCAGCATAAGGTGGAAAAGGGAGGGGAGAGTGTGCAAGAAAAGGCAACTGTTAAAGAAGCAACAACTTAAATCTTGTCTTTCGTCACTGGAATTCAGAGCTATCAAAATGATTTCTCATCAAAATGGTGACAGTACAAGACAGCTTGAACCTCACGTAATGTCAGCAGCAACCAATGCTACACTTACAATTTTCCTATAAATTTGGTGTCTAATTCAAATAAAGGCCACACTGACTACTCTTGAAACACGCAATCCTGAAAAATCAGTCGGGTACTGATAATATCCTGCACTCAAACTGCTGGTCTTTGATAAAAAATAAATAATGAACAAAATCGAACTAAAACAATGAATGAAGTAGTAAGGAAACGGCAAGTTTTTCAGTAAAACCGAAAAGGGACACACATATTTCAGGGCATGCACTCTCAGCACAGAAGAGCATTGAAATGCACTGGAAGCTTCACTTGAAACACAGCTTGGATTTCAAAAGAGAGCAAAGTGATACGGGTTTTGAGAACACCCAAACACGCCCTCACCCCAGCCTCCCTCACATCCCCTCCAAGCACACAGACCAACAATGCACTTATATAACATTATATATAAGTTCAGGTGTAAAGCTTATCACAATGAAACAAAAACAAACACCCTAACAAATTACTGTAAAACAGGTTTTTTTTAGGGCCATTCAATTTCCAAGTCGAAAATAAACGTCTCTGCACTATGAGATCTTTTCTTGAAAAAGACCATTGTTTTCAAGAAAAAATCATTTACTGCTCAGATCATAAAAATGGCCCCCACAAAACCTGTTGTTCCGTACAAGCATAGATATTATTATAATTTAGACACTAATGCTGCTCATGTTTCCCAGAGCTGCTGCTCGACTCGTCACCGGGACTGCTGTTTTGCTGAGAGAAATGCTGCAGCCGTCTCTTCCTGACTTCGTGCATCTCGTCTTCGTGTCCCTCCTCCCTCGGGTTTTCCCACTTGGGGATATCTTCCTCCTTCGCTGGCGCCCCTCCCACAGCGCCTTCCACTTGTTTCTCTGTGACAAAGCAAAGATGAAACAGATGAAAAAGCCATGTTAAAAAATCGGAGAGAACAATGCCAAAGAAAAAACGAAAAGGATTGAAAAGCCATCTTTAAAAAAATTAACAGGGTACACAGAAATATTTCATTTATCCAGCATCAACTTAAAACAATTCAAGTGACAAACCGGAAGAGACCCCTTTCCTGTGCATCAGCATTCCATGTGGAGGTACTACTCACTTGTTCCCATTTTCACTTATCACAACCCTTTCTATGCACATTCTACATCTATACATATTTCCTGTTGATGTTGTCAGTTCAATTTGCAATAGTTTGAGAGGGGTCAAACATCCGTTTTGGTAAATATTTGCCAAAGTTAAGAGCTATTTTTTTGTAGTGGCACCTCAAGTTTCTAAAAATATGTCACTTAGAAATAGGAAATACCTATTCGTAGGGAAAGAAATAAATTACTGGGGGGGCGTGTGTGAGAGAGGTGGGTGTGCGGCAAGAAATGTGCATGTGTGTGTGTGTATGTGAGTGTGTGTGTGTGTGTGTGTGTGTGTGTGTGTGTG